ATTCTTTCTGGGGTTAGATGGAATTTCAGTGTTATTTTAATTTGCATTTCTCAAATGACTAATGATGTTGAACATTTTTTCATGTATTTATTCACCATTAGCATTTCTTCATCTGAGAAATGTGTATTCATCTCAGATGCCCATTTTTGGACTGGGTCCTTGAATTTTTTGTGGGGGGTCTTTGAATTTTGGAGGCCTGATTTTTTTTTTAATTTATATGTTCTAGAGAGAAGTCCTTTGTGTGTCAGCTTCCAATGACTCCAAGATGTCATTCTCTATAGCTACTTTCCCTAGCTCCAGCTACCTATTGCGAATACTTTCTAATATTTTCTCCCTGGATGTCCAACGGGAAGTGAACACTGGCATGTCACAGGCTGTCCTCCTCTCTACCCAAACCAGCAGGCTCTTACACATTCCCCACGTTTTTAGTCTCTGGGACTTCCAGCCTACAAATCCTCAGAGGCTTCTCGTGCTCCCTCACATCAAACAATGCTAATTACCAAGTGCTTAAATGGTTCGGTTTTCCACTCCTGTTTCTGTTGCCACCCCTGCTTCGGCCTCCACTACTCTTAACATCTGCAATGTCCCTCTGATCAATCCCCACTCAGAAACTTTCAATGGCTCCCTATTACCTACAGAGTAAAGTAGAAGGAAAGCCACGTGAGCTCGTGTTGATTGTGTACCTCCTGCAATATGAAGGTACTTTACAGATATTATCACATTTAAGTGCAGAATTTACTCTTCGTCTGACATTTGTTTCCCAGTGTGGTGGTCCCAGCCTTCTTTCCACCCCTGCACCATGCAAAGGCTTCGTTCCAGTTGAGGTTCTCATGCCTGGTGTCCTGGACGCACCCTGCGCATCCTTCACCCTGTGCTCCTGCTGTTGTCTCTGCCCACGCTTTCCACACTAAGATCTCGTCCAGTGTTCAAGACCTGAGTCAAGTGCCACCTGCTGCTTAAAGTCCGACCTGAATCGCACAGGATGCAACCTCTCTGCTCTTCAATCTTTATGCAAATATTTTATCTCATTATTTGTCTTTTTTAATTATGGGAGTTTAATCTCTATTTTTATTCTACTAGATTGTGAGCTTCATGGAAATATCTGTGTATTATTTTTATGTCATTTCCTCACCTCACAATATGCATGGTGCATTATGAGCACTCCAGAAACATTTGTGATATGAAATTTTTGCTGGGCTTTGACTTTACACAACCTAGAACGATGCTTTTCACACCATGTCTTAACCTGTTATTGGACTGTAAAACTGTGTGAAGGGGTGGAAGTGGCTCGGTGGCAGAGCACCTCCTGGCATTCTAGAGGCCCTGGGTTGAATTGCCAGCACCACAAAACCCGAAATGAATTATGTGAGTTACAACCGGGCTTTTTAAGAGATAACAACAAATATTAGAGAATGTCACAAATACTAAGGTAGGTATTGTTTTTGCTTACTTTCATGATATATGTACATGATCTGAGCTGCTATAAAATACACTCCTTATGGTATCAGTTCAAAGAGGGAAAATGCCACTACAATACATATGCATTATTTCAGTCACCAAATTATAAATTCCTTGATGAGAGAAAGCCAGTCTGGCCGATGGGATCACCTCCCCGTCAGGGAAATCCTCCCGCTGCACTAACCCTCACTCCCTCCGGCAAGCTGCCAGAGGAATTGCAGGGAGGATTTCAGGCAAACAGTCAGGTCCTGCCTTTAAATGAGCTTCTCTTTTATTAAGAGAGAAGTAAATTCCTGAAGAAACTATAGCAATGCTTAAGAAACCAGCAGGGGAGCTATAGAACAGATCTCGAATTTAGACGGGAAAGACTCACATTAGGGTTCTTGCTTTGCCGGTCACTGGTTGTATGATGTTGGATAATAGTTTGATGTCTAGGAGTTTCAGTTTAAGCACCACCCAGAATGACTCTATGGTGCCATATGTAACTCATTAAAAATTAAAGGATAAATATATGTGAGATTATTTTGTAAACTGTAAAAACGTTCATAAGTTGAGGTAAAAACCTAGGTCAGGTGAAAATTGGCATAGTATGGGATCTACAGTGAAGTGTGCAACAGGTCTGAGTTCTGTTGCAGTTTTTGAGTGCTAGTGAAAGAAGCCCAATTTAAATGTGTTGTCCCTAAAGGGAATCGACTCACTCACATGCTCGGAAACCCAGTGATGCAGTGAGCTTTGGGAGACCTCACAGTCTCTTTCTGACGCTCAGCCTTTGGTCTCTGCTATATAACCAGCATGATTTTATTGTCAGCCAGTTCTTCTTGCATGATGGAACATAAACTACCATCTGCTCTAGGCTGGCTTGATCCCTGGGAATAGCAGGCGAAGAATATTTCTTTTTCTATCGTTTCAGTGAAAATCCCCAGGAGTGCTCTGTCTGATGTCTTGCTTGGGTCGCAAACCAAGTCCCTAACCAAAAGCAATGGCTAGGGCAACCTAGGACACAAGCTGATCCTGGAAGTCAGGATGGGTCTGCTCAACCTGAGGCATCTGGCTTGAACCAGAGGTTGGCCAGGCAGATGTAAGGGGTAGTATCAAAGAGGCACAGTGACTGCCTCATTGTGAAAAGGGTTAGTTACAAAGATTTGGAGTCTAGGATGTTATTCATCTTACTGAGGTAAGAAAGAAAGTTATTTAACCAAGCACGGTGGCACATGCCTGTAGTACCACTACTGTAGAGGCTGAGGCAGGAGGATCTGGGCTACATAGTGAGTTCAAGAGCAGCCTGAAGACTACATAGTGAGACCTTGTTTCAAAAAAAAGGTCAAATTACGTGGCAATCTGTGATAGGTCTTGCAGCCAGAGGAAGCAATAAACACAAAAACTCTGGAGCAACGTATTTGCTCTACTGACATATATATTTGAATTTGACTTGAATGTGTTACCCTTTATTTTCCTACACTGAAACAATAATTTTACTGACAATGATGTCAAAGTTTAAACTCCTTGAGGTCTTTCTAGGTTGGTACAGATCAACAGGCCCTTGAGTTCAGTCTCCAGAACTGCAAAAAAGAACACCTATGGAGTCTCTCTGATACTGACTGAGCTGCTCAGGGAGCTTGCTGAATGTGCAGAGGTCCCCAAGTCAGAGTACTTCGAAGCAGGGGCTCCCTTGCTCCTATAGGAGCCGAATGCAGAGGCAGCTCTGTGGACGGCACCAGCGGAGTGATGGGCCAAGCTCCCGCAGTGAACGCCGACCCACGGCAGGGCTCCCAGCTGACCTGGCCAAAGCTGGCTGAGGAGAGTTTCTCTCAAAGACTTTCCTTAACTCTGTCCTTTTACTCTAATTGCTGTGGACGTGCCTGGCGGCACTGAGTGGCTCCCAAGGGTGGTTCCTGCGGATCCTGGGTAAAGGTCCCTCGTTCACAGCCGGGGACTCACACAAAGTAAAAATTCCTCTGATCTCAGGCCTTAGCAAAGGTTATGTTTCCTGAAAGAGGAAAAACTTGGGGTGGGGCACCTTTGTAGAGGGTGGGAGGGGGTGGGAGAAGTCAGAAGGTAAGAGACCCACCCTCCTTCATTGATCGGGACGGTGTGCCTGAACTTGGAACCCCTGTGGCTGATCCCGACTGGGCACCGCTCTGCACCAGTGATGCCCTTCACCTTGAACTGCACTGACTTCTGAAGGGTTTGATGTTCACTCCTCACTGTACAGTAGCTCTAGACTGCTCTGCCTTTTTATTGTCGTAGGACTTATCCTTTGCATACCTGTTTTAATTTTCACAGGGTATAAATCCTGAGATCAATAATATATTCTTAAGATATCTCAGTGCCTACCTTAATTGCCTACTACACACAGAGAGGCTGATAGTGCCTTTTTGATGAAGATTATGACTGCAATTACCAAATTCAAAGGCTATTGCTTGTCATTTGGAATATGCCCTCTGGATGTGCAGCCTCCAGGCTTACAAGCTCCTCTCACAGATTGTTGTGAGGAACTCACTTGAAACGTTTCAGTTTGGTGCTCAGAAGACTGAGGTCCTAATGTTAGATTCACCAACAACTTCTGTGCAACTCCATGCTTCAATTCCGTAATCTTCTAGTGCAAGACAGAAAAATGCGCAGAGCTTGAAGTTAGTGAAAAGCAGTAGAATAAGAAAGCAGATAAGGAGCGGCTTTAAAAGCAGAATATAAAGGTCCTTTTTGTTTTGTTTTGTTTTTGTTTTTTTCTCTGGTACGGGGAATCAAACTCACGACCTTGTACTTGCCAGGCAGGCACTGTGCCGCTGAGCTAAACCCCCAGCCCCAAAGGTCCTATTATAAATCTATGTGTCCTGCCTTTCAGTCCTTCTGTGACACTACTTTTTCATCCCTAAAGTATGACCATTTTTAGCCAAGTGTGGTGGCACATGCCTGTAATCCTAGCCCTAAAGAGGCTGAGACAGGAGGATCACAAACTTGAGCCCAACCTGGACAACTCAGCAATTTAGGGAGACCTTGTGTCAAAAATAAAAATAAAATAAAAAGGGGTGGGGATGTAGGACAGTGCAAGGCCCTAGTTTCTATTAGTACTAGAAAAAAGTGGCTGAGGTTTTAGCTCAGAAGTGGATTGCTTGCCTAGCATATTCTAGGTCTTGGGTTCAATCTTCAGCACCACAAAAACTAAAATAATTTTAAAAATTGGCTGTAGCAAATATTAAAAATTTAATAACTAAAAAGCTTCTTAAGTTTAAAATACATGTGATCACAAAATATGATGAATGATCAAAGTTTTAAAAAGTTTTTATTACATGCCAAGCATGGTGACCCAGGCCTGAAATCCCAGCACTCAGGAGGCTAAGGAGAGAGGATCACTGCGAGTTTGAGCCCAACCGAGACTACGTAGTGAGTTCAAGGCCAGAACGACATAGCAAGACCTTGTCTCAAATCCCTGCCAAATTTTATTACAGTAAAAGTCACATTACCATTAACCCCCTCAAAGTACTGCGTCTTACTTTGAACACAATCAGCCCATCATTCTTGACACTTTCTGAAGCAGTTCTGGAAGTCCTTTCTCTTAAGTGTCTTTAGCTGTGCTGTTGTGGCTGCCTTAATATTCTGAATTGATTCAAAACGTTTATCTTCCATGGTCATTTTGACTTTGGGGCAGAGCCGGAAGTCGCATGGCGCCAGATCCTGTGAATAAGGAGGATGAGGACACACAGCAATGTTTTGACATTCAACCAACTGGGTGATCAAAAAATCAGTGAATGTTTAAATTAAGAAATTTTTTACAATGAAAGACACATTGCCATTAATTCTCCTTAGAATATTCTCTCTTTCTCCAAACATGTCCCATCATTCTTAGCAATGTGCCTTTTATGGTAATAAATTTTTAAAAAAGTATACACTTACCATAGTTTCAATCACCCCCTGGACAAGAAACGGAGAGAGAAGATATTTGCAACATATGCACATGAAGAGGATTAATAAGAAGAAGATGAGCAGCTCAGTGGAAAACAGACAAATGGTGGGAGTGGCTCTCAGAAGATATCCAAACGACCAGTAATGTATATTAAAAGTTTATTCTCTGCTCTAGTATCAGGAAAGTGCAAACTAAACTGAGGAGATTCATTTCCTATCTGTTAGTCGAGCAATAACCTGAATGTCTAACCATTTAAGACTGGACAGTAAGGCTGGGACAAATGAAAGAAACTAGAACCCTCATGCGCTATAAAGTTAACGCACCACTTTGCAGAGCAACTTGGCAAAGTCTACTGTAGTTCAGAATCACCTGTCTGCTGATCTAGAAAGTCTACTTCTAGATACATGCCTTATAGCATCGTTTTAAAATGCATTATTGAGCGTCTGGGGATTTAGCTCAGTGGCACAGCTCCTGCCCGGCAAGCACAAGGTCGTGAGTTCAATTCCTGGTACCGGAAAAAAACCAAAAAAATAAAATAAAATAAATTAAAATCCATTATTGAGTTATGAAATCAATTTAGTGGAACATGTTAAGTATTTTAAAAAAATGAAATAAGACAAAGTGCAATAGAGTAGGAAATAGAGTATGCATATAGTAAAGGTACGTATTATTTTATTAAAAGTTTATAATGAACTGTCATAACATAAAATGCACTCCTTACAATGAGTTGCTGTTTAAATAAAAAAACTCTAGGGATACTTCCGGTGAGAAATTGTATATTACCACAAGGCAATATTAGCGCACCGCAATATGACATTTGCAAAAAGAAAACATTGAAAGCAACATACATGTCTTTCAGCAGGAAACATAAACAGCCTGGGATGTGTTTGTGTGATGGAACACCTCACAGCAGCTAAAGTCAATGAACTTGATTTATACAGATGAGTTCTCAAAGCAAAGCTGAGGAAAACAAAACAAGGTAGAAAAGTAAGTGCTGCACAAAACCATATGAATGCTTAAAACGTTAAAATTACCACGTGCTACTCATACACACTCAAATGCACACACACACACACACACACACGCACGCACACTCCACATATTGAAAGCAGCCTAATGGAAAGGGGGTGAGGAATGGGAGGGAGAAACAGAAAAAAATGCACCTTGGGGAGAAAATAGGTATGAAACTATTGACTCCTTTGATTCTTTTGTTTATTTTTTGAGACAGGGTCTCACTATGTAGTCCAGGCTGGCCTCACGCTCAAGTAATCTTCCTGCCTCGGCCTCTGGAGTACTGGGCTCTCTATTTCCTTATTTGGAGATGAATGTTATAGCTTTACTGTTTCTTCACTTTTTTTTAATACTGGGGATTGAGTCCAGGGCCCTTGTACTAAGCTACATTCCCAGCTCATTATTTTATTATTTTATTTTATTTATTTGACAAGGTCTCATTAAGCTGCCCAGGCTGGGCTCGAACTTGTGATCCTCCGTCCTCAGCCTCTCAGACTGCTGGGATCACAGGCATGTCCACCACACTTGGTTTGGAATTAAGTTTTAATCTTGCTCAGAGATCCGACAGAGTGCCATAAAAGTGAATTAACCATTGGTTATTAAAACTCTTTTATCCTGGAATTTTTTTTTTTTTTTTTTGGTCCAACTGTCTTGGGAAAACTAGCTTTTTCACACCAATCTGTCAAACTCAATTCATATCTAAATGGCAAATTGCTGCAGTTGTCTGTGGGAAGAAAACAGACTCACTTGCCCCTAAAGTTTCATTCTTCCTTTTCTTTGCACATGATCCTCCCAATACCTGCCTGGTCAGCTATCTCCACTGCATCCTCCACAAACTAGTTCAAACCTGACTTAACCTCACCTTGAAGCCCTACCACCACCTCCACCAGAAATTATCAACCTGCTACTCCTTCTCTAACTCTCACTGTACTTTGGTCTTTCTCTGTAACAGTATTTATTGCAGTACAAGGTGATTATTCCTGAATGTCAACTTTTTTCCTGTTAAACCTCTGAGCTTTTTGAGGGAAAGGCTTGCCTCTTACTTAACATTATTTTTCTAAAACCTAGCAGAGTAGCTGCAAAGCAGGTCCACAAATAGTTACAGAATGAGCAGAAAATGCTCCTGACAAGCCCGAGAAGACCTGCTAAATGGCACATGGCTTAGAGGCACCCTAATCTAGTTCATACTGCACCATGCATCTGAGACTCCTTAAAGAGCTAGAGACATCATATGACAGTGATATATGCATACCCGTGTTTATGGCAGCACAATATATAGTAGATAAACCTTGGAAGCAGCCTATATGTTCATCAACAGATGAAAGAGTAAAGACAATGTGGTATTTACACACAATGGAGTACTACTCTGCTATAAAGAAGGATAAACTTGAGTCATTTGCAAGACAATGGATACACCTTGAGACCATAATGTTAAGTGAAATAAACCAGACACTTGGCTTAAATATTGCATAATTTCTCTTTATAAAAAACCCAAAATGTAAATAAAAAGCAAAATAAAAGACAGAATATGAAAAAGGGAGGCCAGGTGTGGTGGCGCATGCCTGTAATCCAGCACTTGGGAGGCTGAGGCAGAAGGATGGCTCTGAGTTTGAGGCCAGCCTGGGCTACATAGTGAGTTCAAGGCCAGCCTAAACTCCACAGTGAAACCCTGTCTCAAAAAAAAAAAAAAAACAAAAAAGATAGATCTCTTTCAAAAGGGAGGGGACCAAGAGATGGAGAGGGCGTAAGGAGGGGAAGGGAAAAAGAAGAACTAAGGTGTGTCATGTGCATGCACCAGCTCCCCATGAGGAATGTAATCTCTGTGTACTGCAGGCATGTACTAATAAAAGCAAACATTGAAAAATAAAATACCATCTTAGGGCAGTCTGGTGATATGTTACCAATTTTTTTGGTCCAGATCCTGGTAATAACTTTACTGGTACTCTTAATCTCTAGTCTCTCCTCTGTCTACCATGGAGATAACTCAGACTTATTTGTACAAAGCATTTTCATCATGTCATTTATCTGGACCAAATGCATTATGATTCCTAATACCTTGCAAATCAAATCCAAAACCTAATCTTCACACATACAACCTCCAAGTATTCTCACCTTAGTGTTCCAAGTATTTTTGAATTCCTCTCGCTTTACAAGGGGCTTATTAGCTTGGAAGCCTAAGGCGGGAGCATCATTTGATGTTCAAGGATAGGCTGGATGACATTGCCAGACCTTCTCTCAAAAACACAAAGTGAGGTGGTGAGTGCTGGAGATGTAGCTCGCTGGTAGAGCACTTGCCTGGCATGTTCAAGGCCCTTGGTTTGACCTGCACCACTGGAAACAAAAGGGAAAACATGCTTATTAGCAATAACATGCAGCATTTGAACCTGTATGGAGCTTGTTCCAGGATAAATCACTAAATTATTTTGGTCCTTTCTGTGTTGCTGAGGTGCTTCCATCCAGTGGTCTTGATAATCTTGAAAAATTAGCATCAGTTGAGCTTCTTTCAGGGTGCAGCTTTCTCAAACAGTACTTGGACTCAAAACACATTTTTAAAAATGAGACATCATAGACTAGAGTAGGAAGCTTTGTAAGAACACAAAAGATAAGGTAATTTCTTTTCTTTTCTTTTGGTACCAGGAATTGAACTCAGGACCTTGCCCTTGCCAGGCAGGCACTTGTGCCAATGAGCTAAATCCCTGGCCAGGTAATTTCTTTTCTGAGAGAAAAATATTTCTATGTTTTCAGGTGTCTAAGGTATTTCTCCATACAATAAATATTTAATGAGGACCTACTGTTTTGGTTTTGTCTTTTTGAGACAGGGTCTTGCTATATCATCCAGGTTGGCCTTGAACTCCTATATAGCCCAGGCAGCCTAGAACTTGCACTGATCCTCCTGCCTCAGCCTCCCAGGTGCTGAGCCCAGCTCATGAGCACCTCGTGAGTGCCAGCCCCTGTGCTAGGGGCTAGATGTATACCCTAAGCGTAGAGTTCTACGCAGAAGATCACCACAAAGTGTGTAATGGTGAGAGAGGGCTTGCCTAGTATGTACAAGGCTCTGGGCTCAGTCCCCAGCACAGAAATAAAAGTGTCATTACTTGACGAGAGAAACAAAAACCTGCATTATCCCTCCTAAATGAGAAACTAAAAAGAAGCTCAAAGATATTTCTTGCTTTATGTTTTTTTTTTGCGGCAGGTTGAGGGGCACTGAGTACTGAACCATAGTCTCATGAGTTTCAGGCAAGTGCTCTCCTACTGCTCTATACCTAGGCCCCTTTTATTTAGCTAATGCGTAACATTTATTGGGTGCCTACTGTGTGCTCTGTCCTTGGTACTTGAAAGAGAGCTCTGAATAAGTTAGATAGAGTTCCTGCATTCATGGGGCAAATGTAATAAATGGGACCCTGAGGGAAAAGTGCAGGGCACCAGGACAATCGAAACCTACCTACCTAAGGGACAGAGTGGAGGCTTCCTTGTGGACATGTCCTCTGAGCTAAACTCCAAAGAAGAATAAAGAGCATTTTGACCTAAAGGAAAAGTTTGTGCCCTGGATGGATACAAGAAGGCAGCTATGTGTTCCAGAAGCTGGAAGCAAATAAGCAGGGCTGGCACGAGAGCAGCAAAGGGAGGTTCTGGAGTGCTTACTCTGTCCACCAGCCTCTGCCTAAATCTTGTTAAGACTCTGGACCCTGAGCTCAACAGTTATTTCAGTGGGCAACCCAAAACAAAACAAAAAGATTAAACTTCCTCATTCACATTCTACAAAACTTTATATGTATTCTAATAATTTCCTCTATCCCAATAAATATGCCCATCAACTGAGGGTCCTTTTGCTCAGTTCAGATAGAAGTCATGAATTAGCACAGAACAGCTGTGCTAGCAGCCCCTGATGCCACCAGTCAGCACCAGTTGGTGCTGGGTGCAGGGGGCCGGCACTGCCAGCTGCCACCATTTGGCACCAGTCTGTCCTGGATGCCATCAGTTGACTCTGCCGGGTGCAAGTCTGTACCACTGATCTTTGTTGGCTGCTAATATCTGGAGCTCTTTGGACGTAACTTACCCTCGTGTTTATTACTCTTTCTTTTAAACAGACCATGCTGCCCACACTATTCAGGAGAAGGATACGTAATAGATTTACAGGACCTTCCAAGACAAACTATCTGAGAACTAAATCACGAGCAGATTTACAGGACCTTTAACAGGACCTGCGCAGCCCCACAGCGAGGTCGGTACACCAGAGGAGGCCCTCCTAGACTCACCTGGGAAGTGTGAGAACAGGGCTCCCGTGCATCAGCTACAGGCAAGTTACTGGTTCAGACGTGGACCTGCGCTAGGTTGAAGCGTGTGTGTGTGTGTGTGTGTATGCGTATGAGTGTGTCCAGGACAGCACTGTCGTGTCTGTCATTCAATGAAAGGGCAGGAGACATTAGCCCTTTGATTTACCGCGGTTAGTCCCCCTGGCCCCCAAAACATGGTGGGGCTGAAATCAGGGGATCTGCAGCTTGGGGATGCTGGGGACATTAATTATGGGCCCAGATCCTTCTTCCTTGATCTTAACCACCCTAGGGGGGTGTCCCCCCCTCCCCCGCCAAAAGAGGCAGCAGCAGAGAAGCCCCGTGGCTGACAGCTGAGCTGCACCCCCTTCAGAGTGCCCTGGAGGAGAGTGGCTGCTAAATAACTAAGGAGCACTCCTAGGCAAGTTGCTCCAGTCCGTTCTGCAGGGTGATGAGGGGACACGAAGGGAAGATGGGGCAGGGGAACAACAGCCATTGGCCAAAGTAGGCTTCCCTTGGGCTGGCAGGGAAAAAGGAGGGAGTCAGGTGCTTCTTGTCCATCTCAGTTCTAATGACATTTATTAAACAATTATTCCTTTATTATCTGGTTATTTTGGTTTATCATTGCTAAGATCTCCTATCGTTTTAAATCTTTCTAGAAATTTTCCTAGTTGATCAGTTCTGTTTCTGTTTTGTTTTGTTTGTTTATGGTACTGGGGATTGAACCCAAGGCCTTTGCACCCAGTCATTTTTATTTTTAAATTTTTAAAAAATTTTTTTTATTTTAATTTTTTTTTTCTGGTACTGGGAATCAAACTCACGACCTCCCACTTGCCAGGGAGGCATTGTGCCGCTGAGCTAAATGCCCAGCCCCTATTTTTTTTTTTTTTTTGGTACTGGGACTCGAACTCAGGACCTTGTGCTTGCCAGGCAGGTGCTTATGCCACTGAGCTCTATCCCCAGCCCCTTATTTTTTATTTTAAGACAGTCTCACTAAGTCTCCAAGTTGCTTAGGCTGGGCTTGAACGTGTAATCTTCCTGCCTCAGCCTCCAAGAGCGCTGGAACTACAGGAGTGCACCACTGTACCTGGCTAGTTTGTTTTAATGCCAGCTCTATGGATACAATAGTATTAAGTCACTTGATATCTTGAGAAATACAAAATATTTCTATGGGCTAGTGGACTTTTTCTAGAATCATGGTTCTCTGAGTCAGGTATTTTGTGTGCATGTATTCATCATTTTTCAACTCTCATTAAAGTGTATTGTATCACTTTTTACAGAGGAACAATGTCTTAAATAATTTGCTACACTTACTCCTTATTTGATGACAAAAAGAGAAGAGTAAGCCAAGCATTCAAAAGCCATGGATGCTGGAGTGCTGGGCTGGTTCATGTGGTGGTTAATCAATTACTTGTCAGCTTGAGGGGGAACATTTGGATGATCTGAGTCAGCACGGCTCTGGGTGTAGCAGACCCACTTTAAGGAGGATTGCTGTCAGAAGGGTATAAAAGGAGAATGGGCGGGAAGGATTTCCGGTGATTTTCCTTGCAGCTAATTTTCCTCGGAGGAGCGCTGGTCCTCGCCATCACCAAAGATGGCTGCTGTTCTCTTCAGAAGAGCTCCAGTCTTCACCTTGGACTTGGGCATCATCTCCTGGCTTTAGCATAGATTCTCCAGCTTTCTACGGCCTGCTGGAGCACTTTTTAGCTTCTAGCACCAGTGCGTGGACCTTCTGGCACAGACCCCTCGGTCTTTCACTTGAAGGTCCTTTGGCCTTCTGATGCGAACTTCTGCCAGACATTGCTGGGGGCTCCAGGCCTTTGGATCCTTCAGCTCTCTAGTCTGGGGACAGATCCTTTGTACTTTCCTACATTTGACTTTTTTTTTTTTTTGGTGTTTTTAACACAGGATGCAGTTCAGGCTGGCCTTGAGCTCACTTTTTGGGTCAGGCTGGCCTTGAACTTGCAACGATCCTCCTGCCTCGGCCTCCCGAGTGCTGGGATTACAGGCATGTGCCACCACCATGCCTGGCTCTCCTACTTTGACTCTGTGGGCGGATATTGTCAGCTAATATTGTAAATTTCTGTTTAGCACATTGAATCTGATTCAGAGCATGTGCAGTCTTTTGAGACCCTCACGCCAGCCCTGAGAGCTCATGTAAGCACTAATACAGTTCACTCGCTGGTTAAGTGACTTGCCCCACATAATAACCTTGTAGCATGCGCAAATTTGAAACCACACCTCAGGAAAGCTACTAGACAAGCCGCTATACTACCCTTAAATACTTTAGTCTCTTCAGGCAGAGAGATGGAGAGGAGGATGTAAAGCGCCTGAAGCTGTTGCAAAGGTAGCAGGACTGCTATGCAGCACAAGCAGGACCAGGGTGTTAACTAGGCCCGGGGAGTCAGGGGAGGCACCGCAGTTCGTAAGCCGTGGGATGCGCCGAGGGCATGGAGGAATTATTAACTAGGCAGAGGAGGTAAGGATTCTAAGAAAGGGAAAACCCAGGCACAGAAGCATGGCGTATTAGCAGAACCCTAACAGATGAATCAATCAGTGTTGATGCAGGAAATAGAAGTACTAGCAGTAAAATAACTGGACTTAAAGGCTCTTGCATATATTGAATACTGCAATATATTGCATATATTGCATAGCATATATTGCCTAGATTGAAGCCTAAAGAGGGCAGGGCAAGCTACTAGGAAAGGAAGATGGACTTAAAGAGGGAAAAACAAGGACGATCAAGAACTTGCAAGGACGAGCTGGAACACACATGACCAGCTGGAACTCTGCTGGGTTTATTACTTTTTCAGGTAACTTACACATGATGGTGGGTGATATACAAACTCCTTTCTCATCTACCACTTTATCCGGGATCCTTCTTCAACTCAGATACTGCGTAGGACATGCTGACAGCGATTTCTATTTCTATAGCAATTAGTTCTATATCACCAAATAATTTTGTGAGTTTCGGTGGTGAACTTTGGAAGATCACAACAGCAACTTTTGGTTCAGATACACCAACGTTTCTAAAGACAGTGGCTTCTCATTCAAACAGTT